ATAAACCAGCATCCTATACTAAGCATTTAGGATTGCAGGTAAGGTATCAACAACTGTAGCAACAATGACAGGCTATGCAGCAGAATAGGATTAACGGAAAGCAGTAACATGCTACACTACTCTAATGCAAGAAGTAGAGAGAAGAATAGGCGATATCTCGTGATCAAAGGGGGGGCTTGCCTGGTTGCTCTGGCAAGAGAGAGGGGTCATCAACACTGTAGTCGACAACAGGGGTACCGACAGCGGTCTCGGGGTCTACCGGAAAGAAGTAACGGAGGGGGACACAATAAATAACAGTGCAATCAAAGCATCACAAGGCATAACATGAACAATACGCGGTGCTAGGGTGACCTAACGCGGTATGAGGTGATACCGGTGAAGGGGGGAACATTCGGGAAAATATCCCCGGTGTTTCGCGTTTTCGGACGGTCGAACCAGAGGGGGAAAGTTGCGTGTTTGCTATGCTAGGGACGCGTGGTGAACGAACGGACTACGTATTTGGATTCGTCTGATCGTTCTGAGCAACTTTCATGTACAAAGTTTTTTCATCCGAGCTACGGTTTATTTTATATATTTTTAAAAGAATTAAATCATTTTTAGGATTTATTTAATTATTTTAATTCAACATTATTCAGAATAGTGTTTGCTGATGTCATCATGACGTCAGCAGCTAACTGGGTCAAAGTGACATGTGGGCCCCACTGTCATACTCTGTTTTAATTAACTAACAGTTAATTAAGTTAATTAGTGATTAGATTAATCTAATTATGATTAATTAAGTAAATTATTTCTTTAATTAATTAATTAATTTAATTATTATTTATTTGTTTATTTTGTTTTTTAATTAATTTTTTATTATTAAATGTTGTGGGGTTTGAGGCCCCACACGTCATAGGGCCATCGGGCCTTAACGGGCATTAGGTCACGGGCGCCGGGCGGATCGGGCGACGAGCGCCAAGCGCCGGATGTGGCAGCAACGAGGCCACGGCGGGGTGAAGCCGTGGCGATGCGGGCGCTTCAGCGGGAGGCGTGACCGGTTGGGCCAGCGCGCACGCAGCGGGATGCAGGCGGGCCGACGCGAGTCCAAGCGAAGAAGATGCGGGGAGGGGAACAGGGCCCCGCCCTAGCCGTGGCCGGCAGCAGCAGGCAAGTGCGGCGCGCGGCAAGTCAGCAACGGCGCAAGCAACAGCCGGGGTAGTGGGCACGGTGGCGCGCACGCGCGGCATGCAGGAGGTGCGGCCAGGGAGAGCCGCGTGACCAAGGGGCTCACGGGCGTGACGATGGCGTCACGAGCTCACCGGAGCTCGCGGGGCACTGGACGGTGGTTACGGCAGAGGCGCGGGCAAGAGGAGCTTGGCGCGGACGTGGCCTGGTTGGTGTTCAGCGCGAGTGTGGCCGGAGTGAGCATGGCGACCGCAGCGACGGGGAAGGGGAAAGGGGAGGACGATCGGGTCCTCACCGGCGTTGGTGAGCAGGGGGGCGTCGAGGCGCATGGATGCCATTCGGGGAGGAGGACGGGGACGACATGGCGACGGGGAGACGAGCGGTTGCGGCGAGGGGCGGCTCTGACGTGGCGACGGGCGACGACGGCGGCGATGCGGCGTCAGGGATCGGCTCGGGTGCCGATCCAGATCGGGATGAGGGGGAATCCAGCGGAGGGGGTCGATGCGGCGACGTCGGAGGAGCTACGAGGCGGAGGCGACCGTCCTCGGGCGCGGTGCGGCGCTCGCCGGGGTGGCGTTG